ACCCGCGGCATCCCCCCGAACCCGCGGCATCCCCCCGAACCCGCCGCATCCCCCCGAGCCCCCGGCACGCCCCCAAACCCGCGATATCCCCCTCGGAAACCCACCGCCGCCGCCCCCGGCCCACCCGTCGGGGCTCCCGGTGCTGGGGGGCAGCGGCGCCCGCCCGGCCCCGCCGCGGGGCGAGGCACCGGCGGGGCTGGGAGACGGGCCGGGCCGCCTGTGCCCAGCCCGGGCCGTGACTCACGGGACGCTTCACCCGCCGCTGCCTCAGTTTCCCTGCGGTGAAATGGCCAGCGCGTCGTCGGGCCCCGCCAGGGAGGGAGGGAGGGAGGAAGGACGCTGGGGGCCCCCCTGGGGACTTTTGTCATCCTTCCCGCATGGAAAAATGTCCCGGGAAGGCTCCGCGCGTGGCTGGGGCAGGCCCGTGGCGGGGGGTGCTCCCGGTGCTTTCCCCCTTCCCCATCCCAGTAGTGGTCCTTGTTTGCTGGTGTTGGGGCTGGGAGGGGGGTGGGGAAGGTGGGGATGGTGCGACTGGTCGGGGTGGGGCTGCACTGGGGGGCCTGGGGGGACCCCTGAGCCGAGGGGGACTGCTGGGAGTGGGGCCAGGAGAGCCATGGAGTGGCTGTGCTGGAGCCGTGTCAAGGGGGACCTCCCCGGGACCCCACAGAGGGTCCCCTCCCCTCCCATCGTGGTTGGGGGGCTGGGAGACATCCCTGCCATGTCCCCTGTGTCCCCAGACCCGGGGGGGGCCCTGTGCCTTCCAGCTGCCACCCCAAAGCCCCGTGACAGGCTGTCACTGTGGGGTTTTGTGGGTTTGACCCCAATTTTGCACCCAAAGGGAGCAGAGGGCTGGGGGGCTCAGGACCCCGCTGGGGATTTCTATGGGTGGAAGTGATGGACCCTCTTGGTGCCAACCCTCTCCTGACACCCCCAGGATGGTCCCCAGGGTTGGGGTGGGCAGAGCTGAGCTCCAGCTGGGGAGCAGGACCCCAAAAACCTGCTCAGGCTGCCACCCCAGGGGGCTCATCCCAGCACCAGCTCGAGGCTGAGCCCCCACAGGTGTTGGTAGCACAGGTAGAGATGGGTTCTGTTGGGGGATTTTGGGACCCCCCCAATTCCCACCCAGATGCTTGGGATCCCCCTGCCCTCCTGGGTGACACCTGGCAGGGGAAACCAGTGTCCCCACACAGCTGGGGGGTCTTCCTGGGCAGCCTCCCTGCCCCAGACTCAGTGCTGGGGATCGGGGGGGCTCTGGGGGTCCGGCCCCTTTGTTCGGGGGATCCCCCACCCCAAAGCTTCCAGCACGCTCCGAGTGTCTCCCTGAGGGTCTGTCCCTGTCCCACACGGGCTGGGGTGTGTGTGTGTGTGAAGGGTCGGGGGGAACAGCGGGGAGGGGGGTGGCTGGGAGAAGGAGATGGTGGCAGGAGCAGTTTTTTGGTGAGGGGGGGTCTCGGCCACCCCTCCCCGCGGCGCCGGTGGGAAGTCGGGGGGCGGGAGCCGGTGGCGGCAGGTGGATTTCGACACCGGGGTGGGGCCCGTCCCCAGTGGGGTTTGCAAAGCTCCCGCTGAGTCACGGCCGCCCTGCCGGGGAGGCAGCGGCCGCCCGGGGGTCTGGGGGTGCAGCGGGTGCCCCGGGGGGGTCCCAGAGCCCGCCTTCAAAGGGCTGCCGCGGGCCCTGCCCGGGGCTCCTCCGCCTCATCCCGCTGCCAACCAGCCCCCAAAAACGCCCGGGGGCTTCCAGCCGGGATTAGGGCAGGAGCAGGGAGGGGGGCGATGGTTTCCCAGCCCGGCTGAAGGGCGGGAGAGCCAAGGTGGTCTCGTGGGTGCTGTCCGGACATGGGCTTGGGGATGCCACTCACGTCCCCTTGGGTGTTGGGGGACACGGCCTGGGGGGTGACAAGGCAGGGGCTGCCGGTTTCCTTGGATTTTGGAATTAGCCACCGACCCCTCTGGGCCGTGACCCACCGTCACCACCAAGGGCTGGCGCGGGGTCCATAAGGGACGGGTGTTAAGGGCTGGCTCCCCCCAGACCGGCGCCACCATCCTGGTGTCACATCGGGCTGCAGAGCAGCGAACCCCCCTCGGTTTGGTGACCCCCAAAAGGCGGGTGATGGGCGCGGGAGACGCTGCCGGTGCGCGGAGGGGCGGGGAGGGGGGGGTGCGGAGATTTGTCCCCCCCTCTTCTCACACCTCTTCTTCCCCCCCTCCCCTCCCCGCCCACCCCTCCTCGGCCCCGCAGGTCTGTGCGCGCCGCCGCCCCGCGATGCTGACGGCGGTCTGCGGCTCCCTGGGATCCCAGCCCTCGGACGCGCCCCGCGCCTCCCCGACCCACCTGGACCTGCAGCCGCTCCAGCCCTTCCAGCCGCACGCCCCCGCCGCCCCGGGAGCCCCCGACTTCGCCTCCCCGCTGCCCCCCCCGGAGCTGCCGCTGCCGGGGCCCGACGACTCCGCCTTCGCCGCCCCCGGCGCCTACGAGCCCCATGGCCCCCCGAGGTTAGAGCTGCCCCCCGACGGCCCCGCCGCCCCCGGCGCCTACGCCAAGCTGCTGCCGGCCCCCCCGGACATGGCGCACCCCTACGAGCCCTGGTTTCGGCCCCCCCACCCCGGAGCCCCCGGCGAGGAAGGAGGGGGAGTCAACTGGTGGGACCTCCACGCCGGGGCCAGCTGGATGGAGCTGCCCCCCGGGCAGGGCGGGGGGCTGCAGGTGCCCGCGCACCCCGGGCTGCCGCCGGCCCTGGGGGGGTACGGCCCCGGGGGGGAGCACCAGCTCTGCGCGCCCCCCGCCCACCTCCTGCCGCCGCCGGCGCAGCATCTCCTGGGCGCCGAGGGGGCGAAGGCGCTGGAGGGTCCCCCGGAGCCGCGGGGGCCGGAGGCGGAGGGCGGGGGGCGTCCCAAAGGCGCCCGGCGGGCCGTGCCCAGGGGCGGGGGGCAGGCGGCCTGTCGCTGCCCCAACTGCCAGGAGGCCGAGAGGGGCGGCCCGTGCCCCGAGGGGGCGAAGCGCAAGCACCTGCACAACTGCCACATCCCGGGCTGCGGGAAGGCGTACGCCAAGACCTCCCACCTGAAAGCCCACCTGCGCTGGCACAGCGGCGACCGGCCCTTCGTGTGCAACTGGCTCTTCTGCGGCAAGCGCTTCACCCGCTCCGACGAGCTCCAGCGGCACCTCCAGACCCACACCGGCGCCAAGAAGTTCGCCTGCCCCGTCTGCGGCCGCGTCTTCATGCGCAGCGACCACCTGGGCAAGCACATGAAGACCCACGACGGGGGCAAGGACGGGGCCGAGCCCGAGGGGAAGGGCGCCGGGGACCCGTCGGCCGCCAAGGGAGGAGGCAAGAGGGAGCCCGAGGGGGGCAACGCCGCCGCCCCCACAAACTGAGCCGCTGAGCCCCGGGGGGGGGGACACACACACGGATGGAGGCGGGGAGGACCGGGGGGACCCTTCGGGGCCGGTCTCCGAAGGGATTTGGGGTGTGTGTGAGGGGGGGGTGGGCGCAGGGCTGGCCCCTTGTGCCGCGGGCGGTGGCGAGGAGGGGGGGACAAGGCTGGTGGCACAGCCCCGGCCCCCGCTGCGGCGTTTGGGGAGCGCCGGAGCTGCCCCGAGGCGGTTTCACTTGTCCCGCTCCCGCTCTCCCGCCCCGGTTCTTCTCTTCTTCCCCCCCCTATCCTCCCCCGGCTTCCCAAATCTTTTTTTTCGGGAGGCTGCTGGCAGGCGGCGGGGCTGTTTGGGAGGAACATCAATGGGAGCCGAAGGAGCAGGCGCTGCCCGGGCACGTCCAGCCCAAAGGGGAGGAAGGAGAAGGAGAAAGGGAGAGAGGAGAAACCCGGGAGCCGCCGCTCGGGGAGGGCGGCCGCAGCCCCCCGGCCCCCTCCCCGCAATCCCCTCCAAACTGTGGCACCGCGGGCTCAGCCCCCCCCTCCCACCCCGTGCCAACCCCTTTCCTGATCTCCCCACGAGTTTTTGGCACGTGGGGGACACGCGGGGCGGGGGCTGCCCACAGCCCCCCGCCCCGGCTGGAGATGCTGGGCCGGGGGGTGGTCCCGCACCCCTGGGAGCCCCTCCTGGGCCGGGAGCTTGAGGATGTGAAGCCCTTTTTTTTTGTTGTTGTTGTTTTGGCCCGAACGGAGGCTAAAACGGGGAAAACAAAGAAGTCCTGCGTGAATGTGAGCCGCGGGGAGCTCGGGGGGCTGCGGGGGCCGCGGGGTGCGTGGCGGGGCCGTTGCCCAAGCGCACACCCGCAGCTTTCCCACACCCACCGCCGCGGCCCCGGGCGGGAAGCACCGGGGCGGCCGCGGGCCCGGGAGAGCCGGGGCGGCCGCATTCCTCCGGCCTGGCACGGCCGCGCTGCCCCGCGACCCCCGCCCGCCCCCCCGGGCACCGCGGGGCCGGCCCTGCCCGCGGACCCCGGGACTGGGGGGGCCGAGCTGCCTGTCCCCCACCCCTTGCCGGCCCTTCCCGGGGGCCGCAGCCACCCCCCTGTGCGTGCTGCAGGTCCCTCGGGGACCCCACAGCACAGGGGACCCCCGCTGTCCCCCCCCGGGGGTCCCGTATCTCCAGGGAATCTCTGCCTCCCCCCGTGCATGCTGCCTGTCCCCCCGTGGCCCCGTAGCCGTCCCCCCCCGGGGGTCCCGTATCTCCAGGGAATCTCTGCCTGCCCCCCCCGTGCATGCTGCCTGTCCCCCCGGGGACCCCATAGCTGTCCCTTCCCGGGTCCCCGTATCTCCCGCTGGGCATCCCCCAGCAGGGACCCCGTATTTTTCCTCCCCTGGGGTCGATGCCCTGTCCCCAGGGGGCCCCGTGTCTGTCCTGCACCCCTGGCTGGGGGTCCACGAAACTCGGTTTTTAGACCTTCGGGGTCTTACACCCCGATTTTGGCAGAACCCCTTGGACACAGAAGGAGACGCTGAACCCGGGACCTGAGGGGGAGCTTTGGGGGGGGG